TGTAGCTTCCAGCCAAACAAGAGACAGGTATCTGAGGTGAACATTTACATTAGGTAAATACACTCCTTGGAGAGAAGAATCATAGAAGAATAGAAGGGCTGTGTATGCACAAGCGGACAGCTCAGGGGGCAGGAATGCATGGAGGGAAGGACACAGGGGAGAGGTAACTTTGGAAAGCAAGTGGGAGGGGAGCTGTTACATTGTGGTAAATTGTAGTCAGTGTCATGAGACAAAGTATATGTGAGCTGTTGTATGGAAAGTGAGTTTGCTCTGTAAACTTTCACCCAAATCACAATTAAGGAAAAATATAAAAACCTAAGTTACTGCAACAAGCTGACTGCTGGGCTGAAGTGAGAGTGGTATTTATACCTATAGTCAGGTTCTCCAACATGCTAATCAGATAGATTACAGACTGCAGTGTCAAACATGTATGGCTATCAGATGATTTTCAGAAGTCACACCCAATTATAATGTTTTACTTCTTGGCACTACACTTTCTGTACCCTCCTCTGTCCTGTTTCAGTTTGTTCTTGTTTGGTGTTTTCATAGCAGTTGGACTTCCTGATTGCAGTTTAGAAACATAGGTACTTGGTTCTGGGTAGTGATGTAGACAGGTATATGGTGGGCTCCTTCTCCCCCAAAAACAGTAACTATGCATTAAGGCCAACAGCTACTAGTATTCTGGATAACACTGTCCTTGATTTCTGTGGTGGGGGAGTAAGATGGGAGATGAATAATGCATATTCCTCCTCATTTTAGTAAATTTGTGCATCAAGTATGATAGCATCAAGTTTGTTTCTCAATCCAGTTTCAAAACCCTTAAATTTACTGCAAATTACTCCAAGAATCTCACAATAGGTTGAGTGTGAGTCCTGGGATTCAACTGAAGATGTTGTCCTCGATATTTTAGGGGAAATTTGAAGTTGGCTATTTGAAAGACTGCCTTCCAGAGACATTATAAAATAGCCAAGCAGATATTAAGAAAAGTCACAAATATGATAGTTCCTTTAATACCAGCAGAGGATGATTATAGAGCATTTATCTTAAAAGAGTAAGATGAGGGTTCTACTGGTTGATATTTAACTTTTCCTCTCTGAGCCTTCCTTCTTCATTTTATTTTAGTCAGTAAAATGAAAGGAATAGACTAGATGACTCTATAGTTCCTTTGTCCCTAAAATTGCCATGATAATTTAAGATAGGTAGAAACATTTTATTTTGTATCCGTTAAGGACTATGTACTGGAGCATGTCTCCCCTACTAATTCATAGGCTCCTTTTTCTTAAGCAACTTAGAATCCCCATTTCCTGGTACCTGCAAAACTTCTAATAAATTATTTTCAAATGAAGAACTAAATGTAGCTGAGCAAGAGATGTTTGAGAGAATTCTGTATAATGCCAAATATTTTGTGAGTACTCTATTACCTCAATGGTCTAACTCTCAATAGTAATTAGCTGGTTACTTTATTCAAGTATTGTAACTAGAGTTCATTATGGGCATGAACAAATGGCAATTAGTGACCCACCAGCCTCCTTATGTAGCATATTTGTTCTCACATTGGTAACTCTCTTGTCTGCCCAAGCTGAGATCTGAAGAAGTTTAGGGAGTCCCATTCTAGACGTAAAGTCTTCACTTTGTTTCCTTTTGCAAGGATGCTCCTGATTTCAATCAGCTACTAGGAATGTCAGATGAAATATGGCACAAATGTGAATTACGACAATAAAAGTTTATAAGCTACTAAAATAAAGTTATAGTACCTAAGAGCTGAGTCAACTGACAATGTTAAATGGAACATTTTACAACCAGTCCTGGGATAATGATAAAAAAAAAGATGGAACATGAAGAAGTATCTGACAGGAAATGGGCCCTAGATCAAGCTCAGGCTACATGACTGTGTGAGCTATCTCTAAAGGGGGCAGGAGGAAGGTGATAATCTAACCTTTATGGAGTACCTACTCTGTATCCAGCTCTTGATGTCCATTATCTCTTTTATGTCTTATAACAATTCAATGAGGGAGGTATTGTTGTTATCATCTTAAAAAGGAGAAACTGAGGGTCAAGTGGTCTAGTTACCTGCCCCCCACACACACAAAAATTTCAGTAATAGAGGCAAGATTTTACTTTAAAATTCTGACTCCAAAGCCCATGTTCTTTATATATCTTTTCATACCCAATCTCTACATATAGATAACCTTTCCATAAATAAAGCAAGTTTTAGGTCTCATGATGAATCTCTTTATCAGACTTGATGATAGTGTTTGTTCCATGCTATCAATTCAGGTGAAGGTTTACTATGAAGCTCCCATGTAAATAAGCTGCACTGAGAATGCTAAATTATAGTTAAATAAGGCAAAAATATGGCACTAGAATAAATATCAGCATTCATAAGAGAGCCACACCCTAAAAATGGTATTTAAGAAAGAATGTAGGAACATTATCAGGAGTCTGAATAGGTAATATAGTAATACTTCATTTTATTTTTTTAATAACCCACTCACAAAATGTTTTGTGCATAACTGTAAATTACCACTACCTTTCCCTGACCACTCTAGTATGACAAACTCCTTTCACCCCACATCTCCCATCGACCAAGCCTGCTACGGTGTCCCCAACAACAGACCAAGTACACTGGCAAGCCCACATGAATCTGGTGCTGCCACTTGAAGGGCTTGTATTTGCTGTAATTGCATAATTTCTTAGAAATATTATGCTTTACCCTTAAAGATCTTACAAAATTTATATTCTCCTCCCTCATCTGACTTTGTTATAATATAGAGATAGTCTTTTCAATGACTTATTATGTACCAAAATTCATGCTCCAAGAAGAATTAACGTCATGTTAGTTCTGAGGCATCATATAGTCTGTGCAAACTCCTGTACTCCAGTTGGAGAAACAGGGTGATAAAATGGTATAGTCGCATGACATGCAAAGTGCTGATGTGAAATGAAAAGGACAGAAGTACAGCTGGGATATTAATTCAAGAGAAAGAATAAATGAGACTGTTTGAATAGGCTTAACAAGATAGTGTAGTTCTTCCTAAAAATAATTGGGATGTTATTTCACCTTATCTTGACCTCTACCCCAACTCCCACCCCTCAATAACAATCAAATATTTACACATACACACATTAAAAGGTCAACACAATACTTAATATACAGATAATAGGGAAACACTCAGTAAAATCTGTAACTTATCCAAATATCGGATGATGGCTTCATGTCAATATAGTAATATGCCATAAATTTCCTTTGTAATAGAACACAAATTAATAAAATGGGAAAGTGGAACTTACAAAATAGCTTTAAACTCAATATCAGCTTTCATTTATGGGTCCAAGACTATAATGGACACAGCTAATTTTCATGGTTGATCCATAATAATGGTCATTGGGAAGTTAAATGACAGAAGAGTAACAGCTTTAAATAGGAAGTGGCACAATTAATCACAGCTGTCATTCTTATGTACTTGCTGACTATCAACCTTGAACAGAGCATTTAATTCAAATCCCATTTAAAAGCATGCACTGTCAAAGGAGAGGCCAAGAACCATTTTCTAGTTCAGGAAGCAACCCACAATCCATGTGCCAAAGATGGCACTGAAGATCAAGTCTGCTGGCACATAGACTGATTGCTCTGGTCCTACATCCTCCTTCCCCACTCATTGTACAGAATGTTCCTACAAAAAAGGCAAGGAATTACAACTTTGGCATTTGACTGTTTAAAGATGATCAGTTCTTGTCCTTATAATACACAGAATTTTTTTGGAAATATTCTCATTCAGAACTGCCATTGATCGTACTTTCCTTTGTAAAGATAGTATTATAGAATGTTTAAAAGAGAAAATCTGTCTACAATATATGTGGTAATACCAGCTCTCATTTACAAAATATTGCATGAAAATAACTGTTATATATACAACATAACGAGCTTTGGTGGTACAGTGGTTAAGTACTTAGCTATTAACCGAAAGGTTGGTGGTTCAAACCTACCAGTCACTGTGCACTATGTAGGAGAAAGATGTGGCAGTCTGCTTCTGTAAAGACTGCAGCCTTGGAAACATTATGGACAGTTCTACCCTGTCTTATATGGTCACTGTGTGTCAGAATCATCTCAATAATGATGAGTACTGGTATATCCAATATCTATAATATATATTTTATGTAATGTACTCAGTAATAATATCTGCAACCCAATGAGGAAAAATGCATATACATATATACATTTTTCCTCATTGGGTTGCAGATATTATTGATTATACTATATAAATGCTCATACACACATACAGCAAAAATCCAAAGCAAAAGTCAAAATTTAGCAAAGTAAGAACAGTTATCTTTAATCCTGGATAGTTTCATATACACTCAGTTTGACATCCTAAGGAAGTGGAGTATTTTATTGAAGATATTACTTACTAAGTCAAAAGAAAATCTCTATGTAACTCACAGATTACAAATGATTTGACCAGTAGGATCTTTGACATAATAATAAGGTAACACTGGATTTATCTTAGTTGTCAAAATAATATTACACCTTTCAATCACATGTCCTATCGCATTAACCTTACAATGACCATATGAGACAGACTATTTGGTCATGGCAAATATTTTTCATTCATTTGATACATATTTACTGAACAATCCCTTTGTGCCAGGCATTGTTCTAGATACTAGAAAAGTAAGGGTGAATGAGACAAACATGGTTCCTGCAAGTTAAAAGCATGATCAAGATTACCTTTAGAACCCAGTTCTTGTGATACCAAGGTCATGTTATGCAAATTTAGTGCTTTTGACCTTCAAAATATTTGTCATATTTGGGTAATTTGCTTATCATATTGTGGCTAATTACAGGATGAAATGAATTTTGACAATGAAGTTTCAGATGTGCTTTGTTGCTTTGTAGATATTATTGAAGCAAATAAAGCTCTATGAAATGTGGAGTGATAAAATATTCAAAGAAATTTACATCTCTGCAGATGAATAACAATTACATTTGTTCCAAACAGGCAATTGGTTTCCCAACACATTAAACAAAGGCAATTTAGAAAGCTTCTTCTTCTTCCTGGCATCATTAACATTATTGAACATCCTGGGATTCTGGAGTGTTTCACAAAGGTAAGTAAGTGTGTAGTAAGAAGACCAACTTGTAAGTCCATGAAATATTGGTCTGAGAACCATCACCAATGGGAATCCAGTATACCCTTGATGGACAAATTACCATGTTAGAGAAATTTAACAGATTATTCAGGGCAAGAAATTGCAATTTTAAATTTTACTTTTTTCCATTGATCCTCATAATAGAATAGTGCTTTACTCAACATAAAATGTATTACATTAAAACAAGAGTTTTTCTCCACTAAATTGTTGCCATGTTAGCACTAGAAATATCCATATTTATGAGTTATTATAATTAAAAGAAATCATTAAATAAATAGCTAGGAATTTAATGATGCTTAAGATTTGGATCCCATTCAAGCCTTTAAATAGACAGTGACCATTTCAAGATCAATAACAAACTGCAAAATTCCTTAGCCAGTCACCTGAGATCATTCAGTGGCTTAATGTATGTCATCTACCATCAAGCCATCACCAACTATCCATCTCTCTCTTTTTCTCTCTCTCTCCTCAAATATAATATTCTTGGATGGCTGTGTACCCTTGAGGAAATTTCCTAACCTCTCTGAGCCTCTATTTTCAAATATGTAAAATCAACACAATGACATCCTTTTGTAGGTTTTACTGGGATGAATTTAAAGGCCAAGCACAAAGTCCACCACATGTAGTAGAATTCAATAGATTTTTTTTTTTACTTGCCTGTATTTATTTAAGGAGCTCTGTTGGTGCAGTGGGTAAGACATTTGACTGCAAACCAGAAGGTCAGCAGTTCAAACCCACCAGCTGTTCTATGGAAGGAACATGGGGCAATCTACTTCTGTAAAGATTTACAGCCTTGGAAACCCTATGGGGGTCACTATGAGTCAGAATTGACTCAAGGACAGTGGGTTTGGTGTTTGGTGAGTGGTGTAGTGGTTAAGACATTTGGCTGAAAACCAAAAGGTCAGTGGTCCAAACCCACCAGCTGCTCCATGGAAGAAAGACAAAGCAGTCTGCTTCTGTAAAGATTTACTGCCTTGGAAACCCGATGAAGGTTGCTGTAAGTTAGAATTGACTCAATAGTAGTGAGTTTGGTTTGGTTTTCCATTTATTTATTGTTTTAGTCATATGTTATCCAATACATTGTTATTGCTCCTTTGCCTGAATCGTTCTTGCATTCATCTAATAATTCTCTTTTGGAGCATCAACTATGTGACAGGTACTATTGTGGACTAGAAGGATACAAAGCCAGTAAGTCAATCAGTGTTTCATGTATACCTACAATCCTGCTCCACTGGAGCTTATGGTCCTATATGAGAGAGAGATATCTAAATAAACCTCTTGCAAGGCAGATCACTAACGGCAAAATCAAAGCCTTTATGGTGTCATAGATTTCTAAATTATTTCATACCTTTCAAAGTAAATAAGGAACCAAATTCACCCTCTATAATGTGTATCTTCCCTAAAATGCCAGTCTCTCTTAGATTGAAAATCAAATCAGAGAAGCAGAGTCTTACAACAGAACCTAAAGGAATTTCCTTAGCCTCCCAATAACGCAGAGTGGATGATGAAAACTGAAATTGAAAATAGGGCTTCTTTCACCTCCATCCATTGCCTCCAAACAAATAAGTGGGGCCTACCTGTCAACTGCCATAAACCTCGACCGTGTCTCAATCTTTACTTTTGTTCCCATTGTACAATTTGATTCTTGTCTTTCATGAAGTGGTTTAAAAGCTGATCTCGAGAATCAGCCCAGTTGAACTCAGCTCCACAGCTTATGATCTGTACAAATTTGAGCAAGCTATTTAACTTTGCTAAGCCTCAGTTTCTTCATCTGTAAAATGGAAATAAAAATAATCATAACTGCTTCATAAAGTTATTGTGAGCATGAATAAATGCTCAAAAAGGTTAACATTAGCAATAACAATGCCATTATACCTTGCCTGTGAACAATTGTTAAGTGCTTGGGTGCTAATCAAAAGGTTGGTAGTTGGAACCTGTACCCAGTGGCTCGTGGAGAAAGACCTGGCAATCTGCTCCTGTAAAGATTATAGCCTGGAAAACCATATGGGGCATTTCTACTCTGTCTCGTGGGGTTGCTATGTGTCCAGCACTCCCATGTCTCAGACAGCATGCTAGACACATTCAAACAACCTCATTCAATCTCCACCACCTCCTTGTTACACAGATTTTGTCACTCTATCAGTGAGGACACTAAAGTTGAAAGCTAGTTAAGTAAATTGGCCAAGTTCATACAACTAAGATTCAGACCCAAGTTTGTTTGTTTCCTTATACCATACTCCTTGTAAGTCACATAGCGAAGCTCTCTACCTGCTCCCTAATAATTCCCTTAACTCTAACAGATTGGAGGAAACCAATCTCTTCAGTTAAAATAACTGCCAATGCTGACTACTGCCTATTGTTCAGTCATTCCACAGGAAAAGAATAAGTCTTACATGTGACAAGAAAGGAGATTTTGGAAAATAGGCCTGCAGAAATTAAGTAGTTAGAATCAACTTCATTAGTGCAAAGGCACACATCACCTTGGGTACCTATTGGTCATTGGGATTGGATGGGTCAAACCACAACAGTATAGAAACAATAAAGAAACAGTACAGAACCTGTTCTGGTTACCTAGCACCACTCTGACAGGAATATTCCACAAATGGGATGGCTTGAACAAACAGGAGTTTATTCTTTCACAGATTGGGAGGCTAGATGTCCGACTTCAAAGTGCCAAGCTCTAATGGCTGGGTGAAAGCTCCTCAACCTTGGGCTTCAGCTCTGCCTCCTGCTCCTGACCTACTTAAGCTGGAGGCATTTCTTCATTCAGGCAGCTGCTGTCTGCTGATGTTGACAAATCCAAGGTTGACAAATAAAAAGGCACAGTCCTGCCATTGCCAGACAACACAGCAGGCCACTAATTCAAGTCCAGAAAACATCCTAAATTCAGTAGCGTACCAAGGTTCCAAGATCACAGGGTGCTGAACAACGACTTGGATACATCCAAGGTTTAAGCACACCAAAAATCTAGAGACCTTCCTCAAAGCTGCTTCTTATATACTGGAAGTGTGCCACATCTCTAAAGCAGCAACTCAGCTGCTCCAGTAGATTCCACTATGTAGAATAACTACATCCAGCTGCCCTGCCACTCAACCAGGCCTGGCCAAGTTGACAACAACCTAAACTACCACAGAACCTAAAGCAGTAAGCTCTGTGTCTACAATGAGAAGTCTGTGGTTGTGATTTATTTATATACTGATTTTTTTTTTTTTTTTGATCAAACACTAATGAACATTAAGTATGCAAAGAAACAGAAGAAAGCATAATGTCCCAGGGGCAGTGTTATGGAAACCTATTATTTATGAGTCAAATGGTATTTGATCTCAATACACATCCAATTGCAATCCAATATTCACCAACCCAAAGCTTTGTCTGCTCAGAGACAGATAATGATGGCATACTTATTAAGAACAGGGCAAACCCAAGTTAATCTTATCTCCAAGGTTTTGATTATGAAATACCATCTCAAGCAATATGCATTTGGTATAATGTCTGTAGTCACACCCAAGGGTCATCTCCACTGTCAAGCTTATATTTAGTGTGATGCATTCCTAGTGTAAGTCCTAAAATGAAACTAATCGTATCAGGGTCAGCGCCTCAGTGGAGAACAGTTAGGAACTATCCATGGGTGTCAGGTCAGACTTACACTTCACTCATAGCCAAGACGCAAGTCTCCTGCCTTGGTCTGTATTAGAACACTCCTCAATTAGTTTAAAAATAATGTAATGTTGGTATATCATACCCAAAACTTTACAGTTTGAGGGGAGGAGGAAGTAAGTAGATTAAATATCTTTTCTTTGCTGAAAATTATTAGGAAAATATGTCTGTAGTACTTAATAAAACAACTATATCCCATATTAGATGCTAAAATAAAAAGAAATTATAGGTATTTCTTGTGGAGGGGCAGGGAGTAAGAGGGTATTTGTTTTTATAACTTAATACCCCTGTCCCTCCAGTGTTGTACAACACATCTTATAAAGGTGATATCATTGCACTCATTTTGTAAAAGATCCCAGTTATATTTTGTGCATAACTCAGAACAATTTTTAAGAGAGACATAAATCAGAAACAAATGACCAGAGTTATACAGGCAGTATTCACTGCCTCTAACAGTTATTTTTAGCAATATACTGGCAAGGAAAAGAAGGTAAAATTAGCTTTTGAAAACTTCACAAATCAAAAATAGATGTCTGACTCCAGAGGTTTATCTGTATGTGATAAAATTTAACTTATAGCTCATATTTTTTCTCATTCAGCCAATATTTATTGAACATCTACTATGTGTCAGGCATTGGTCTAGGTTCTAGGAATACAGCAGTAAATACAGCAGTCAGAAATTCCTATCTTCCTGGAGCTTACCCAAAAGTGATTAAGAAAATAATATGTCTGTAGAAGCAACATGCCATAGAGGAAAAAGCCCAGGATTCAGAATAAGAGTTCTAGTTCCAAAGCCAGCTTTTGCCAATGACTCTTCATATGAACCCTAAGCAAGTTATTTAACCTCTTTAACTTCTGTTTCCCAATCTGTGAAATGGGATGACTCCATCCTTCTAGAGTTGTAGTAAGGATTAAATAAATTAGAGTGAGTATCGTGGCACCTGGTACTTAGAATACACTCAGGAAAACCATTTCTGAGGTAAATATTTTCCATAGGTCATGAGCACATTCTAGAAATATATTCATGGAGTCCTTCTTCAACAGTGATGCTTTCCACATAGTCTCAGCATCAAATTTCCAAATCCCCAGTACAGTATGATGAACCTTTTATGAGTCCTGGCCCCTCATGTATTCTGAAAAGTTGATAAGGTTTCAGTCTCTTTGTCAGCATTGAAAACAGACTCACTGCAGGTTATAAGACAGCGCCATCTAAAGGTCCTTATGTGGCATCCTAATTTGCACTAAAATTCTTTTTGTCCTTTTATAAAGACTGTTCTGGTAGTAGAGCTCTTAAATAATTATCACTGTTGTGCCAGTATCTACGGGTCCATCATAAAAGGTAGACAAGCACAGGAGGGAAGCAAATGATTTATCAAGTCATCTACATCTGGTCCTAAGAAAAGCTTTCTTTCTTTTTTTTTTTTAGATATTGTAATCTAAATCATTTTAATGTCCAGAACATCAATGGAAGTAATCTTGAAGACACACTTCTCCTGCAAGAAAAGTCTCTGAAATTTTATGGCAGTATACAGGAATTTTCTTCAAGTATTGATTCTTGGGAGACAGCCCTATGAAACTGTATTTGACTTCACCTGTCTTATGAGCACACTATTCATTGTTTTCTTCAGTCAAATGCTTTATGCATTTTAGTGTAAGAGCCAATTTATATGGGACAGGCTTTATGACCAGTCTGTGTCTATTTTATTTACAAAGACCAATTATGATCCCTCTAGTAAATTATTATGCTTTTGCATCCATATGTTGTGCGTTAGAATTTATAAAGGAATTTTAAAGTCTAGGTGATGACTCTATGACAGAAAATGATACTCTTCTAAATACATAATATTTTATAACTTTTAACAATGGTTTGGTCACTAAAAGCAATATATATGATATTTTAGAGTTTTTAATAGGAAAACTAATAGTATGTTCATATTTTTATCTCAACATATTTATGGAGCACTTGCCACGTGCCAGACATTGTGACCACATACAGGTATGTCTTGTTAAACGTCTCGTCTGACAATATCTGACCACATATATGTCTGTAGTCCCATAAGGCTTTTTCTTTGTTGTTGTTCTTTGAAAAGGAAAGCAGCTCTCCTTTTGTTTATCAACTTACCCTTAATGGTTTTACAGATTCCAAACTGAAACTCTTGTAGCACTGGACCATGACTGGGATCCAGGCAGGTGGGATGGAGGACATGGCAATGGACACAGATTCTCCAGCTGTAACCAGCAGGCAGGTGGTGGGTGTAGTGGTGTTGGTGTCTGGCTTCTCCAGCTCCTCAGGCAAGCAGAACAGTGGCCAGGGCAGGGCCCATTCTGCTCCCTCCCCACTCTCTACCTTTCACTCCGCTCAGCTCTGCTCTGCTCACTCTGCTAGCTCGCTGTGAATGCTGCTGTCAGACCTTCCAGCAGTGCCATCTCCAGCAGTGGCAGCAGCAGCAGCAAAAGCAGACTCCCATAAGGTTTTAACATGGTGTTCACACAACATCCCAATCTTATAACGTCCCATTTCACAGAAGATATCATGGGTGTTAAGCAACGCATACCTGTATTATCTGTGTCTGAGTAAACAGTAAAGCTATACATGATTTTACTATATCTGATCTTGATATTGCACTATCAAGATATGAATTAAGGAAATTTTCTCTGAATTCAAAAGCAACTTTACTAAAATTGAGGTCCTTAATAAACAGAATATCCACATATGAAAAAAGCTGTAAAATAATATAAATGCTGGCCTTACTGGGATAAGAGGAAAGACAACTAAAGAAGGTTAAAAGAGTGCTAAGAGGAGGGTAAATGACCAAACCAAATAACCAAAAACCAAACTCACTGCCATCAAGTCAATTCCAACTCATAGTGACCCCCTTTAGGTTTCTGAGGCAGTCTATCTTTACAGAAGTAGATTGCCCAGTTTTCCTTCTACAGAGTGGCTGTTAGGTTTGAACTGCCAACCTTCTGGTTAGCAGTCAAATGCCTTAAGCACTATGCCACCAGAGCAATTGCCTAACACAAATGGCATCTTTTGTCTTTACTGCTGCAAACTCAAATGCATGCAGAGAGTCCTCTTGCAGAAGAGATTTTTTCCTTTATAAGCAAAGAAATGTGGAAATGCATACAAAAAAAAAAAGGTCAAAACTAAAGTCTCATACTGTTGTAGTATTTGTTGCTTGTCAATGTTTGGTTGAACACCCTACACTTCAGGTGAATCTTTCTGGCTCCTATTACACACCACCCTAATTCAAACCCCTTTCGCACTGTGGGCCCGGGTATTGGTGGTTTTAACAAGCATACTCAAATCATCCTTCTGCTACCAAAAGTTTTAGAAGCACTACTTTTCAGGACAGTTAATGCTGAATAGGATAGGTGTATATGTTAGCTGATCACAACTGATTTGTAATTAAGCTGCCTTTGTGTATACACAAAATATTTTAGATCTGTAGAATAAAAGATTTATTCAACTTGATTTGGTATGATGCAGTTTTTTTTAATTGCCAACGAGCAGCTGTAAAACACCAGGTGTTTCTCTTAATCCCACTATTTTTTGTTTGCTTGCTTATTTAGAGGACAAGTGGAAGGGCTACCTTTTATGAGCATAGATTCTTTCCCTTGCAACTTTTTCTAATCTTTCTTTGTTTAGCATTCTACTCTGGCAGAACAGTGAAACGGATTCCTTAAAATCTTTCCTTGCTGCAAGAGGTTAAATGCTAAGTATGCAATTTGGGTTTAGGAACACCCAAAAGATCAAGAAACCTTTAAACACCTCACCTCAGCATAAGTGAGAAGCTCTCACAATTTCTCCCTTAGAAAAAGGGTCCACCTTATTTTGTTGTAGTATTTTTCCTCAAAATTTGCCTTCATCTCCTTAATTTCTATATCATAATGGAAAAAGGGTGCTCATTACACTTTCACCCATTCTTAGACATGAAAGGAGATCTACAGAATTATAAACTTGACCCAAAGCAAACACCAAATGACAGAATTCTCATGTTGGGGTTGACACTCGTAATTAGCTAAATTGCACTAACTACACATGCTTCCATTCGGAACAGGATGCATTCACACAGCAGTTTCTTCTCTAGTGCCTAGCAACATTATCATTGAGCACCTGGAATAGTTTAGGCATTAAGTGTAATTGGTTTTGCTTTACATAAATCTGTAGCTTTGTAAATAAGTGGTGCATTTCAGCTTCTATATAACACCAATTAACTTAAAGGGATGCGTTGTTTGTAGAAGCCTGCTGGGTTCCGTACTGTATTTCTCCAATAATATGCTCAGTGGCAGGCAGAGTTCTGTGTCCCTGTAGTGTTCCATTTGCTCCTAGTCGTTTGGTGCCAAGGGTCTATACCAGCCACTTGTTTGCTCCATTTTCCAAGCAGCAAAAAATGAAGACTTCCCTAGGAAGCACCTGCCTACACTCAAATTCTGTCCATGATGAAAGCCTGAAAAGAAAATTATTTGAAAATGTTTCCTGGGACTTCCATAACACAGTTCTGACCCAATTGAATTCTGTCCACATTTGACAGTGACACCCTTTCATCTTTTTTTCTTGTAACACTTCAAGCCTATGCAGCCAAAAGTCACCACATTGAGCCCTGTATACAAAATTAAGAAAACTATTATTTTTACTACATGAATTTACAAGTGAAAATTTTCCATCAGAGTGAGTTTCTTTCATAGCACTCAGAGACATTGTTCCTGGAAGTGGGTAAATTTTTCCAAGCTCCTTGGATAGTTCCTCTTGTTATCTCTGTACTTGGCTTAATCCCTTATCTCTCTATTCCCTTCAGGTAATCTTGATTTATAGCATTCATTCGACCCAGGCCAACTTTAATTCTCTTGGTTTCTGAAGGTGTTTTATCAACTATCAGAGTAACAGTATCACCAAAAAACAGCTCATGATTCCAACAAGTTTCCTATTAATATTGTGTGATTTACAAATTGAAGGAGGGAGAATAACCCCTTCTGAAAACTTTCAGGCTCCCTTATTTTATGAGGTTGAGCCCTGGTACCCTGGAATAATTCAGTGATGGGTATACACCATCCCCACTGCCAAAGAAGCCTGCGTACAATTGCCGATTACAGGCTTTTGGGTAAAACCCTTAAATAAAATCATCAACTAAGTGATGACAGCACACAGGTGCTGCTAAAATTCAGGTCTGCTCATAGGGAACAGGGAAATTAATGGAACCACTAATAATAACAACTCATATCTATGTCACCATTTACAGTTTACAAGATGCTGTCACAAAAATCATCACATTTGATTAGCTCTACCACACTGGGAAGGTGGCACATTTTAGTATGCCCATTTTGTAAATGAGAAAATGCAGCTATGAGACATTAGTGATTTATCAAGAGTCACAGAGGTAGTAGGTGGCACAGACAGAACTTGAACTCTGCTCTGTCAGTCTCTAAAGTACAGGCTCCATGGGTGAACAATATTCATCATGTCACTAACACTGGGTCATCTCTAACCACTTAGACAAAACATGCTCTACATCATCCAGAAGAGAACACAAATGTGAGGAAAGATTTTGGTGAAAGACCTTGGCAAAAATGGTTAACAAAAAAGCAATAATTTTCTCCTGTCTTGTCCTCTCAAGCAGTTCTCCCAATGGAGCCATGCACTGTCTTCAGGGGACTACTGTCTCAGAAGCTTCCCACTGAAGAGAACCACCTGAACTGGCCACATGAGTGCAAAGGAGACAGGGGGGGATAGAAGAGCAGTATGTAAGGCTAAGAAACCTTCCCCCCCCCCCGCCCGCCTTTTCAGCTCATCAAAATGCCATGAATATACTGTGGTCAATCTCAAACTACCTTGGAAAAGAGCAATTTGAGAAGGACAAATTTACCCTAAAAAGTACTTTTAGTAATTGTGGAGACTTCTGTAGTCCTTGCTAAGTGCAAGACCAGGTCTGATAGTGGTTAGTTGGTTGGTTGGTTGGTTTTAAATTGTGATTTGGGTGCAAATTTACAGTTTTCTCTCAACAGTTCATGCACATTTGGTTTCACAGTCCTGATTACAATCCTAACAATAAAAAGCTCTCTTCCCATCTCCTCCTTGTGAGTACCCCTTCCCTGTGCCCTTCTTATCTATGCATTCCTGTCTGTCCAGCTTTCCCTCTACGTGAATGCTGCCCTTCTGATGTCTCATGGTTGATTGATCTAAGGGGTGCGTCTCTATAGGGTTGTTGTTGTTGTTGTTGCTATTTGCCCTCAAGTCGGACCCGACACACAGCGACCCCTCCTTGGGTTTCCGAGGTGGTATCACTACGGAAGTAGATTGCCCAACCTTCTTTCCGAGGAGTGGCTGATGGGTTTGAACCGCCAGCCTTCTGATTAGCAGTCAAGTGCCTTTGGCTCTATGCTAGTGTAGGTGGGTGCATCTCCCTGGAGTAGCTGTTCTGCTTGTAGCCTTTTGTACTGTTGGGCTGAGAGCCAATCCATGGAAGTGAATCCAGTTCCAGGCCCAAAGGGGCCAAAGTCTCAAGGGTTCCAGCAGTCTGTACCCAACCAGTAATTCTGGTCATTTTTGTGTTTTTGAATTTTGCTCCACATTTTT